ATCCCACGTTCGGAGCGTGGACTCCCGATTCTCTAGCCAGGTCCTTGCGGTGTCTTCCAGGTAGAAGTACACACGACGGAGCTTTTCTTCGTTGTCCCAGTGGTTGAGGGCGGCCACACGCTCGTATGTTTCTAGCCAGGTTTCCGGGTCTTCAAACGATGACCCATGAAACGTTGGTGGTTCCCTGGGTTGATGAATGACGATCGCGGGCTGGGACGTTCCGGTTGTCATAGTCGCTGCAGTAGAGGTCATGGCCTTAGCTTTCCGCGCCTCTTCTTGTAGAAGCCCGTACTCCGGTGGGAGACCTTGCTGTCGGCGGCTTGTTCGCTGCTCTTGGTTGGCATCGGTGTCTTCTCCGCGACGTGGGCTGGGTTCACGGCTTGACGGGGGCGTCCGGTACATGAACGAAGCAGCACCTCCACCAGATGTCATGGGGTCGTGACGTGGCCGAAGACAGGAGACTTCGTGTTGGGATTTAACTGTTTATTTGGACGAACCTGTGCCCAGTAAACGGAAAGTCTGATTACAGCAGCAGTCTTGCACAGATAGCAGTCTCTGACTGATAGCAGCGAACGGAGTGTCGGCCTTCGTTCAACAACTGACAAGCGGCGAAGTGCGTCGGCATTTATACTCTTGCCATCGAATGTTGTAGCGTTATCGCTGGTGGTGGCGTAGGTTCCAGAACAATCTGTACCGTTCGCACGGTGGGCGTGATCTTATCGAAATGATCTACTAAATCCGGAACCTTATCGAAAACTGCAGGCGCGGTTTGCGCTGAGAATCGTGTGGTGTTTTGGGACGATAACGAAAACTTGGGAAATGGAACGTTGCACTATATAGGACGCTCACCACCGTGATTTTTCTATAGTCGTCCAGTGCTGCAGTGTCGCCTCCTCTTTTACGCATGAAGCTTACTTTGCTGCATTTGCCGTCGGAGGGGATTAGACCACCCTTCAGAATGGTATTCATCATTCCGGGGAGGTACTCATGAGTGGAGTTTCCCAGGCATTTAATGAAGCCCGCCGGTATGCCGTCCAGTCCGGTAGCAGTATTTGCACTGATGCTCGGTAGTGCATGATCAAGAGCGATCTTCTGTATCTGCCACAGGTTTTCCTCACTTCATTGGTGAAGCTCATCTGGATCGGCATTTAATACTGCGGTCGGTTCCCTATGAGTGGGATTGAAGAGATCTTAAATGTGGGTCGTAAGGTGCGCTGTAAGATCATTGGTCGCTTGGTCACTCGAGTGATGTCCAATTATCGGGGACATAGTTTACCGATCCGACGAAGACACGTATTTCCAAAATTTGTTAGCACTGTTACGCACTGCCTCAGCAATAGCTGGCCCTTGTTTGTTGTTGTGTTGAGTATTTCGTTTTGTACGAATATCTGCATCCCTTTTTTGAGGCAGAGGTATTCCTCCCACGTAACTATGCACTCCTCTCCGCGTCATAACCAGGAGAGGAGTGTATGAGTTTGTGGGAGGAATATCTCTGTTGACAATCACTTCTCACAGCCACTCTGTGTAGGCGATTCGTCATTCGTCTTGAAACAAGAACCTTCTGTACATCTTCGTCCCAATTTATCTTTGCGCGGTCAGCTGTCGGGGGAATCGACACGAATTTCATGCTTCTTCATGATGTGACTCAATTCTTGCACAAAGTGATTATAAGTGTGTGATTTCGTCAAAAGGTTTGCTCTAATGCTTCCGTGAATGCCGCATACGGCGACTTTGGAAGATACCTATAAGCAGGGTTGCAATGTTTCTTCGCAACAGTTTTACAGGAGGATCTGGAAAAGGTCAACTTGATTTTATTGTGCTCGTTTTTATACTAAATCTATCATTTTCATTTATGTGCATTTGGGAGAGGTGGCGTGCTTAAGCAGTTCTTGCAAGCGCGTAATCAATGCAGCTGCAGCTGTTCCCGGCATTGCAGGTGTACTGTCCTTCACATTCTGGACGAAGATTCAGCACATCTAAGCAAGCGTACCTGCAAGTGTCAGTAGTAGTTTCCGAATTTCATCTTGGAACCCCTACAGAGCTTGAAGGTGCCTATTGCAATCGCCCGCAATGAGAACGTCTCGCTGACTTGCCCTGCTTAATCCGGTCCATCATCTAAGCATTTGCTTATCAACGGGTGTCTTTAGAACTTAGCCCCATAGAAAGCCTGCACATTGAATCAAATGAGTGGCACTCCATCTACAAATTGTCGTACCTATCATTCATATATTACAGCGAAAGCTTTTATGAGATCACAACGTGGGTCACCGCAGTTGCATACTGTGCCACCACCGCCGCCCCTGCCTTCGCCGCCGCCGCCGGTGTCCATAACCACATCGCGCGAAATTCAAAAAAACATTGCACCTTCACATTCTTCACATTCACAGTGGGGCTTGAACTTGGGTCCGATGGGTGCCAGCCCAATATTCTACCACTGAGTTACACCGGTGCTTGTAAGTTGTCAAACTTGCTTTAGGAAGGCATGATTTAACACCAATGGCACAGTGGGACTCTAAACCGGGTCCTCTGGGTACCAGCCCAGTATTTTACCTCTTACCTACTCCGGTGCTTGTGACTTGTTGTCAAACTTGCTTTCGGCAGGCTTGATGTGGGAAAACCAATCGTGTTAGTACGACTTATTAAGCGTTTTACAACATCGAAAGAACAACCAGTCGTCGCACAATGCGATTAGCGTAACGAGTGGGCCGTCCAATGCTCCAAACCATTACAAAATCTTGTTCTTGTTTCCCTAAAACTGTGGTGCATACCCACTTCAGCCATAACTTCTCATCATCGTCGGCCACTACATGAACAATTGGCACAAAATTCCTAGCAAGTGTTTAGCGGATACCACGATTCTCTGAAGAATGACAAAAAATGGCTAAGCTAATGCCGGCCTACTACCCAAAAGTTTATTACTAATGCCCCAGTGTGTACCAAGCAAGTGTGCTTGCAGTAGTTACCTAATGAGTGTTTTGTAAAGGCTCTTAAAGGCCGCTCTTCTAGCTTTCGCTGTGACTGTGCTGCGCCTACGACGCAGGCCTGGCGTTTTTTTTCTGATGGTTACGCAAACAAAGAACATCATTCACACTCCACTGTCAATGATTTGTCCACTTCTATCTTTTTCGCTTACCGTCCTTTGCTACTAGAGCCCTACGCACTATGAGGGAGGGGCCTAGCTGAGGAAATGGGGATTCTTTTTTAGAATACTGTTTGGTGGCCCCCGTTGAAGATCTACCGCCATAGACTGTGGTGTGTCCTTCGTGGAAGTTACGAAACATGCCCCTGTCGCACATATTCAGTTGTACTTCTTTGAACTGAAGCACAAGTACAGCTGTCCTGAATTATTCACGGATACCTCCAAGCCTCATAATTATGTGTCATACGCAGCAGTCACTCTATCTTTCTGATGTCGGCATTCTGCACACTTACGCAAGCGTTTTCGCAGCAGAAGCCTATGCAGTACTCATGGCCGTGAAGCACATTAAGCAACTAAAACTACGGTAGGCCATACTCTACACTGATTCCCTGAGCGTAGTTAAAGCTCTAAATACAATGAAAAAACACACAATACTGCCCTAATCTCATTGTACACCATCTTATGAGAAAACTACACGCTCGTACAGCATGTCACAGTGTGCTGGGCGCCTGGGCACCGTGAGATTTATGGCAACGTATTGGAGGACATGCTTAATGCATCGGCTCGCGCAAGTACTGCAAATAGAGACATAGCTGTCCCTGTACTGAACCTGAAACCCTATCTCAAGGAAAACTCAGGGACCATTGGCAGGGATCATAGGAGAGGCAAACACAGAATGAACTTCATCTCATGAAACCACATCTCGGGAATTGGCCGCCAGTATCAAAATCACGCCAAACAGAAACGACCCTTACGAGATTAAGAATAGGACACTAAACAGTATCCACTCATTTCTTTTGTCTGGTGCTGATCCGCCTTTGTGTGATTCAAGGATGTGAGTGACAGTGAGTGGTGAACCACTCACTGTCACTCACATCCTTAATCAGTACAGTGAATCGGAGTTCATTAGAAGAAAGCACTTTTCGCTAGCTTACCATCAACAAATCCCTCTTCATCCTCGAATGCGCATAGGTAATGAACCAATATTTAAATTTCAGTCATTGTTAGCGTTTTCAAAGGACATTCATAGCTTTCGAGTCATATATCAAGAATATCCGTAGAACGGCCTCTCAACAGAGGTTGTTGCGGCAGCAGTCTTTCGCAGAAGCACCTTCTATCTAGTCTTTGGTCTAAGAGGTTCTTCGGATGCATTGGTGCTTTCTTTTCTGATCTCTCACGGATGAATACACTGGTTATTTGTAATTTGATTCATACCCATGCATCAAATCACGTGTCAATGTCATAATCTAATACATATGCACACAGTTTACGCTGTCAAACAGTGCGTGATTTGAGGCCCTTATACAGCCAAAATACACCCTATCCATGCAGTCATTGGTCATCGCTTAGATCACGTAAAAGACATGGCGCTCTTTGGCCACTCATGGCCCTTGCGCCACAAAACTCCACTAATCATCATCATCATGGCCATTTTGTCATGTCTTCCCTTATGCACTGTGCCATACTTAAGTTTCCGACATCGGCTCCAGCAGATATGGCAAAGTAGGACAGCCCTAACAGGACTGCAGTCCTTGCAGGTCTACCCACATGTGCTCAACACACGAACTGTTGCTAGTCCAGCTCTGCACAGGAAACCAATCCCTCCTTCTTTCTTCGATTCACCTTAATGGTGAATCTTCGCCTAAACGTCCCGACTGCGTACTTTACCCATCATCTGCTTCAGTTTTTCCCATTTTCGCAGTTCGAGCACCGTGTAGTTTAAGGAAAGCTACTTGAATGTCTTAGTGCTTTTTGCGGATGCGGTGAAGGTGATAGAGCACAGCTGCGCCTCTAGCAAGAGCAATGAGGGAGTAGGGGAAAAATTAGGGCATAGCACAGCCCTCCGTAGTATGGTATAGTGATGGGGTGAGAAAGCGAAGTCAGATGATGAGGCGGAAAAGGTGCAGGGGAGAGGATGAAGCACAATATTGCAATTGACAGCATAGCGTAGGAACGGATCGGGGATGGAAATGACAGAAAGGAAGAAATAAAGGATGTAAAAACAGGCACAAAGTGCCCTGAAGTTAAGTAAAGGGGACTCAGGCGTTGTGATCGTTCAGCGACCATGTGAATCATGGGTAGTACACGGATTTGCGTAGACTTTGTACTTGCGGGCGGCGATTTGCACTTGTGGCTTCGTTAATTGCTGTGTTTCGGTCTTGTTTTGAAAGAAAGAATAAACGTTTTGAACGTCACGACCCAAGTTGAAATGGTTCAGCCTAAAAGATGAAGTGTAACTGCCAAACACTTCCCGATTGTTGTTTTGTGACACAGCAGCTCTGAGCCACACTAACCCAAAAGTATCGTAAGGTACAAAGTCTAGGCAAATCTGTGTGCTAGACATAATTCCTATGCTCCCTGAAGCGCGATGCATTGCATCTCCCATAGACATTAGCGTCAGTGTCCCCTGTAGTGCATATGTATGAAACATAATGGAAATAAGTTAAGGCATAACATAGTTTTTCATAGTGCATACCTTTAGTATAGCAAGGCATGGTGAGGGTAACTGAGTAGTAGGCAAAGGAGGAGGGTAGCCCTACTACCTCTGCTGTTTTTCCAGCCCAGCATCGCTAGTGCATATTCGCCCGATTTTTTTCAGCCACTCTATTTTTTATCAAACTACAGATGATATCTCACGCATTTCAGCAACTTGTACCTTATTTTGTAGAAATAACTTATTTAATAATGTCGTGCTTTCGACTTGTTCGCAGGTACACGGTTGCATTCAGAGTTCCCTCGTTGCCAGAGCAGTATATGACAATTAGGGACTTCGCATTCTTCGACTACCTACTCTGGGATTCTTCAACAGAGAAGGAAGTGAATGCAACAAAATATGTATTCTCCCAGCCTGGTAAGCAATCACATTTCACTTTCTTCAAAGCAGCTGCGAAAATATTGTATCATAACCACATTGGGCGCTGAGAACACGCACACCACAAGACAAAACGGCTAAAAATGGTTTTTGGCGTTTGTAGAGATACGAGGGCTAGGCATTCTGTATCAGCAAAAAAGCTCACTTGTCCTAGAACAATACCTCTGTGCCATTGCACGAGACCAAAAAAAATTAAGGGACCCTTAACCTTCGCCTTTAACACCTGAATGCAACAGCAGTATTCTGTTCCTTGCACGTACTTCAGTCAGTCAATAGAAGCTTTACGCACTTGCTATGCACCTACTACGTGAGCTTAAGGGCGCAGTGACGTGTGTGCCTTTTGTAGTGTGTGAATTGCTTTAACTATGAAGTCACTATGACTGCGCGATGGCAGTCGACGCTTGCACCACACATTATTACAGAAATATTTTACGTTGCATTGCAAAACATGCATACAGGATGCGTGTTTTTGTACATGAAAGCTACTTTAACTACAATTTCAAGCAGAGGACGTTATTTTCACTGTATTTGAAACCAGAGAGCTGGCTGTGGGGTAAAATACCTGCTTTCCACGCAAGCGACCCGGGTTCGATCCCCGTTCACACCCGGAACTTTTGCAGCAAAATCTGCTTTGAGGTCACTACACGGTTCGCGTGCGGCACCGTATACTTGTCCGCCGCCACCACCACCAGTGTCCATAATCACTATCGCTAAAACCAGTTACCGTAATCACTAAAACTTTATTAAATAAAAACACGCAGGACACACTGAGATTTGAACCCCGGTACCCTGCGTGCAGGCCCTGTATTATCCACTAAGCCAAGCCGAATTTTGTTTTTGTTTAATGCCTTGTATATCAAGACTGTTCACATTTATCAAATTCGACAAAATAAGGGTGTACAACACAATACTCTCACAAAATTCAATGAAGAACCATCAGCTCTGAACTGACTATGCATCAATACTTTGGTATTCCTAACTATTGTTGAATGCGCACAGTCCGCTCTGGTACATTCTTTTGCACTTTCATCATTTCGACAAAATAGAACAGAGCTTCCCGAAAACGTTGTCGCAGTACGCCGAGAGAGTCAAGAAAGATAACCTTGTAAAACAATACATAGCGTCGCATGGAAAATAAAACACATTTTTTCATGAGTGCGCAGTCGTTTTTTTCTGTTTTATCTCCCATGCGACGCTATGTAATGTTTTATAAGGTTTTCTTTCTTGACTCTCTCGGCGTACAGCTCTATCAATTTGTTCATTTGGTGCTGCTTAGAGTAACTATAAAAATATTGTTTTATTGTTTTATTCCATGCTAAGCGCTAGTTTTTAAAGTTTTAAAAAGTTCTAGAGTACGTTTTATTATGTTCACGCCTTTGTTGTTGCTTGGTGCAATGAAAAGACAGAAAAGATAAGTAATAGATAAAATAAGAATGTAAACCTCGTGAATGCACAGTTTAAATTGCGGTGGGTGTCACTTTTGTCATTTGCCATTTTTCACACTCGCCTCTGTGGCAGTTGTCACATTTGATTTCTTTTGGGATGGCTTTATTTGCGGCATCTTTGGTTCGGTGCACATCGTGGAAGCGAAGCGTAGCATGTTGATTGATTGATATGTGGGGTTTAACGTCCCAAAACCACCATATGATTATGAGAGACGCCGTAGTGGAGGGCTCCGGAAATTTCGACCACCTGGGGTTCTTTAACGTGCACCCAAATCTGAGCACATGGGTCTACAACATTTCTGCCTCCATCGGAAAAGCAGCCGCCGCAGCTGGGATTCAAACCCGCGACCTGCGGGTCAGCAGCCAAGTACCTTAGGCACTAGACCACCGCGGCAGGGCAAGCGCGGCATGTATATATTGGCTTCATGAAACGACAATAAACAGTTGGTAGTCTGCGCTCTTTCTTGTCTCCCTTCTCCTTTTCTTTCAAGTTTGCGCAGCAAGTTGATTTTCTCATGGCGTGTTTCTCGGTCTCGTCCCCGAGAAGTTTCATTCTTTCGAACACGAACGTGAACATTTCTGGTTTTAATGTAAGGCCGACGCGCTCAGCTGCTCCTAGACCGACTTAAGACGCCCATTATATTCTTCCATGGGTGCCCCCCAAATAAGGACGTCGACCACCTACACTATGACTTCGGGAAGTTCTTCGAAAATTTTATTTAGTGTCCTCTGGAAAACCTCTGAAACAGATTATATACCAATCAGTGAGCACAAGAAGCGTTAGCGGCCGAACTGTCTTGCGAATGGGCCAATTCGAGAGGTTTTGTCATCTAAAGGAATCCGGTGAAATCCTGACTTTGGATCCAGGCGTGAGAAAACTGTCGCGCTGGTGAGGTCTGCTTGTATATCTTCTCTGCAAGGCTATATGTAATGTTCTCTTTTTAAGCATTCGTTTATGTTTCGTGGATCAATGCAAACTCAGATTTTCTCGTCCTTCTTTCGAAAGATAACGACAGGACTCACCCAGTCTTAGGCACGGTCACCTTCGTTATAATGATGGCTCATTGCATGAGGTCCGATTTCATCTTGATGGGTTTTTGTAAAGCCACTGGAACGCGCTGTGCGGCATGGACGATAGGTAGGGCGCCGTCACGTTACACCATCTTGCATACTCGTTGCACCCTCCCGGTTCTAGTGAGCAGATGGCGAAATTCATAAAAGATGCATTTGTGGCTGCTTTTGATACGCTGCAAACACGCGGCACGAGTCCCATGAGTTGGCATGATTGAAGACCGAGGATCGCTTGACGTTCGTTCTGGATCAAACAAATCCAGTGCTGAGGTTCAGTCATTCAGTGTGAGTTTGGTACGTATGACCCTGAGGTGCGGAATCACCCCTTCTCCATACGAACTTAACACCGCGCCACTTGGATTGAGCAGCGGGTGAGGGCGCATCTTGAGATAGCAGTTCAAAGGCAGCAAGTTTGTGCTCAAGTGTCGGCTTTTAGGTTCACTTGTAGGTTCTTGATTTGGGCTCGCACCGCCTAGTCGCGTGCACTTTTGCCTAAATGTGACACGTCAATAATGTGAAAGTCGTCTTCTGAGCCGCTCGTGAACTTCCCTAGATGTTTTGCAGCATATGGCGAAGTGGTTAGCTCGTGGCGCTTCCGGCACTTCATTCCGAACGCTGGACAGCTTTGTGGTGCATGCTTGCGCCCACATCTAAGGCACTTGGAAAAGGTGGATTCTGACGAAACATCTTTGCCAATAGGAGCCACACCTACCGGATCTACTTCTTTCAGTTCGCGTGCCCAAACTTCTTGGTGTGCCACTGCTGCTTTTGTGGCTTTACACGCCAGTTCAGCCTTTTGTAGGGTCGAACTGTTGTCCCTAAACAGCTTTTCTCCAAGGGGGCTGTCAGTAGTCCCGTAAACAATCTCGTCTCTGATCATCAACTCCTTAGGACTGCCAAAGCTGCACGATACTGCCTCCGTCTTAGCATCCCTCACAAACTGTTCCAAGGATTCTCCTGGGTTCCGAATCCTTGAGCGAAATACATAGCGTTCGTGCACTTTCTTACTATGTCCGGCAAAATATGCATTGAACTTCTGCACGAACGTTTTGTAATCGCTGCTATCCTCCTCTTGCTGGTACTCGAACGTGTCAAAGATCTGAATGGCTTCTTCACCTGCAATACTTAGGAGGAGGGCAATCTTTGTTGCTTTCTTTCAGGGTTTGCCAGTAGTCTCCGACGCTATGAAGAACAACTAGAGCGCTGCTTGAAGCCGGGCCAGTTCTTGCCGATTTCTCTATCGTGCCAGTTCTTGCCGATTTCTCTATCAGTACATATAAGGGGGGAGGGGGGTTGGTTTCACAAAATATATATTGGACGCGCCAGGCGCTAGCTTCGATCAACCTCTGAGACCATGTATCGTGTATGGTCATTGGGCCATCTTGACAGCTCGAGCATAATGGGAAAATCATCATAAGTTTATTGTGCAATGCTTTACATACATGCAGGTGCAGAACAGGGGAGGGTAACCTAAAGATAACTAGACTGATTGCCACGAGTAGCACTATCGTAGCTTTATCATCCGATACTAATACAATTAGGTTAGAATATATGATATGTTCAAGAAACTTACATGGAATAATAGTTAATGTTGTAGACTACAGAACGTTTATGTTACTCACCTGGTTCAGGCACTAGAACTACCTACATCGCCTTTCAGTCATGCTCGAAAAGGCATGTTGCAATGACTGTGAAAAAATACTGCACAATAAATGGCCTCGTGTTTGAGAAACTAGGGAACGATTCTGTTTATTCCAGGTTCTTATGCTTTCATTTTAAGAATGAGGTGGAAAAGACCTAACAGATCAATGATTATTGGTTCGTGATTTATGCCATACTGGTCGCTGCGGGATTCAAATGCCTAACACTGATAAATGGTTGTCGTAGAGCTATCAGGCGTTCTTCGAAGGACCTCTTCCAGCTCGGCATACACAACACCATGAAGGAGACTTGCGAGGCTCTTGAATGGGCCCATATAAATCAGGTTTCCACCACATCGGCTGGTAGGCAGATTCTCGAGTGAATCGAACTCGCCCCTACCGAGGAGTCGGTTGGCAATAACCAAATTTCCAGAAAAATTAGGGAGCAGCTCTTCGTCGCTACGCAGCCCCACAACAAGTATCCTGTACGCAAACGTACCTGCCAAGTGTCCCGGATTGGCCGGGAGCGTCCCGAATTGGAACCATTTCTTTCGTTTGTACGGTTGTCATGAAACTCTCCCGGAAATCAAAATTTTTGCACGTGATCCGGCTGCCTCTACAAAGAAAAACAGCTCGATCCGCTCCAGGCTTTTCGAACCTACTCAATTTAATTATGAATGAGTTTAAGAGGAGTTCATCGAAACGTACAGTAGAATCTCACTGATGCGAAACCGCGGCAGATACAAATTCGTGAAATTCCTCGGCGAAATTCTATTATGTCTTTTGGGCCTGAATTCGAATGTTCCCATCACATTTCCTAATC